CGGAAACCTGGCGCCTGACGGGCGTCGACGGCGAGCTGATCAAGCTGCTGGCGAGCATCTTCAAGTTCCGTTTGAATCTGCTGCCGCCGTGTGAGAAGAAGTCAGCCGCACTGGAGCTGAACGCCAGCATCGCGGACTGTTTCCATGAGCTGGCGTCCTACAACTCCTCCGTGATCATTGGCGCCATGAGCGGCTCGCATATGTATGGGGGGAACTTCTCCACCACCAGCGCGTACCACCAGAGCGCCCTGGTGTTTGTGGTGCGCGTGGATCAGCATATGGGCGCAGTGAATCAGCTGGTGCAGCCGTTCTGCCCCACCGTCTGGCTGGCGTTGGTCGCCTCCTGCTTGGCCCTGCTGCTGCTGCAGTGGCTGTGGCGTCAGAGCCAGCGCGTGCCCTGCGATGTGGTGGCCAGTGGTTTGCGCGTCCACACCACGCTCCTGGGTAATCCACTCGACGCAGCCGCTCTGCCGCGGGCGGGCCTCGTGCGCTGCTATCTGGGCGCCTGGCTGCTGCTGGCGCTGGTGCAGCGCGCCGCCTACCAGGGCAAGCTGTACGATGCCTTTCGCCTGCCCTACTATCCGCCGGCGCCGGAGCAAATCGCCGAGCTGCTCGAGGGCCACTACCAATACCTGACGCCCGACTACGATGACTATTTTCCGGCGCAGCGCAGTCTGCTGCGCAGGACGAGCATCGCAGAGCGCTTCGACGAGCTGCAAGCGGCCGAGGATGGGGCGCGTCTGACGACCAGCGCCCTGCTGGGCAACCTGGCTCACTATAACCACGAGAACTGGCAGAGCAGTCGCCTGACCCATGTCAAGGAGCACATCTATCTGGTGCAGCTGGTCATGTGCCTGCATCGGCACTCGATTCTGAAGTTCGCCTTCGATCGCAAGCTCAAGCAACTCCAATCGGCTGGCATTGTTGGCTACATCAGTCGCAATTTCGAGCCGCGCATGCTCCACATGCCCTACGCCTCGCACGAGGCCTCAGCGCTACGGCTCGAGATGTTCTGCGGCCTCAACTTCATTTGCTATATGCTGCTGCTGGCCTCTCTGGTCATCTTTCTGCTCGAGCTGCTCAGTCAGCGCGTCGTCTGGCTAAGGCGTTACTTGGACATATAACTAAGTATATAAACCCTGATATATGTATATATGATATATATATGATATATGTATACCCTGTATGAGGAATACTCATAATAAAGCGAATTCCTAGAAACAGATTATAGGAATAAGTCCTTCAATTCAGATAAGAGGAATACGATTTTTACACCCTGAGCCCATGGAAAATGAGAAATCAGGGTATAATGGTTTTGTTAACAGTATCATGATATAACAGGCAGAAGGCGGCGTGGCAGGCCCCATATAGTATGTATGTTCTTGATCAGGGCGACGAGCTGAGTTGATTTAGCCCTGTTCGTCTGACTGTCCGTCCGTCCGTATGTTTGAACGCGTCGATCTCAGAAGATATAAGTGCTAGAGACTTGAAATTTTTTTCCTGGTTCCGCGTATATCATGGGCATATCGAGTCTTTCTTCAAAAATCGATAACTTGTCCACAAAAAAAGTTATTAAACAATTAAGTTCCCGTAGTAAGCTCACACTGCAGCCAATGTGTGTTTATGCATGCGTATGTATGCCTGTGTGTGTGAGCGTGTGTGTGCATGTGCGGAAAATTATTGAAATATCAGTTGCACGAAGGGTTCAGGATATCTCGTAGTTCAGCAGTTTCGACTAGAGCTTTCATACTTTTTAAGATTCGAAGTGGATATTCGAATTACTTATTGTACTAGATACGTTCGTACCCTTGTCTGATACGTTCGTACGCCTGTCTGTCCTTCTGTACCGTCCGTTTCTATGCCCGTGCATCACTTGAAAAACTTACTCTACCTACACAAATATATCGATAAATGAAATGGTCAGGCTCTTCTATGTGATTCTCAAATATTTGCAGTTCCATTTGAGGCTGGTATACGAAATGCAGACGAGTTTAATTGATCCATTTGGCTAAACTCATTAAAATAAAGATGTCACAACTTTATCCATTGAATGTTTAGCCAAGTCCTGTTCCGTTTCCCGCTCTGCGTGTCTGTCTGTGTGCGTTAGTGTGTGTGTGTGTGTCTGCCTGCAGGCTGTCAAGCGCTGACAACCCTACGCTAGAGTTGCGCACCAAATACCAAATACCGTTGCCTTATTTTCATTTACATTTCCATTATGACACCGCCACAAGCATTTGTTTTCATACTGGCGCAGGGCGAAGGGCGAGGGGCGAGGGGCGAAGGGCAGTCGTGCCACAGAATGTGGCGGCCTCGTTAACCAACAACAGCAGCAAAACAACAGCCGCAACAGTCAAGGAGGAGAGCACACGAAGTAGAAGAAGAAGCAGAAGAGTAGCAAAAACCGTAGGAGGGAGGAGGAGGAGAGGGCATAGAGAGAGAGAGAGAGAGAGAGAGACGGCAACAATAACAGCTCGGAGGTCGGACATAAAGCGAACTCATTAGCCTACATGGCCGCATTTTCCGCCTACACATGTGGGGCATGCGGCATGCAACATGGCGCATGTGGCACACAAATGCGACTACACCCGAAACACTGAGGCCGCATGCAGCTGGCTGCAACTGCTTGCTACATATTTTGTTTGCTTAAATGCCGGAAGTGTTGCAAAGGGAGACGACTGCCTGGGCAGCAGTTGGCAAGGATTCAGGCAGTCGATGACGAGCGACGAGCAACTAGCAACTGGCAAGTGGCAAGTGGAAAGTGGAGCGTACCCCACTCATATGGTTGCAAGCAACAAATGTTGTCATCATGTTGCACACAATGTACGATATGTGTTTTTTCCTCTAGTCCAGCACAAGGATAACAAGCAGCGGCTACTCACTGATTTCTAGACATGTCTATTAGAGACCCTAACAACAATGTGTGCAACTGTGGCAGAGACACTCTGAATAACGTGAAGAGCTCATGCTGCAATCATAGCCATATGCTTCTACTTAGTACGGCAGAAGGTACGGGCGGACGTACGAATGCCGGCACGGACTGACGGATGAGAGGAAGGACAAAAAGAATTCGCATATAACTGATCGACGTATCTGATCAATCTGATCTCTGATCAAATGCATATATACTCTATATATATCCGAGGAATGACGGTACGGGCAAAAGCAATACGGACATAAGTGATAAAAGCATCTATTTTTTACTCTGATCAATATATTCATTATAAGGATCCCCCCTCTCCCACTTCTGTCTGTTTTATGGTCCATAGATACCTATTACCAAAGGGCTTTGGGTAAGCAAGTATGTAGCCCGATAGATAAACTGTATATGATAGCTTTCACAGAGTTCATACTGAGCAATTCCTTAAACTAAGTAGGCTGTAAGTATTTATTAACTATTCATAGTTTGGATAATACTTCGATGTCTTTTTCAGCTTACTCACATGACAATATTCATCACGTATTTTGGTCGGTCACAGTCTCTGCTCACTAGCTTAAGGCCTAAGGAGGAGATCTTAGTCGGTAAATTTCGGATGGAAATAGAGCTAGTTGTATACTCATTGAAATTTCTCTTATAAAATCAGAATATCATTCATTATACAGTAGAATCCGGTTATAACGACTCCGCTTACAGCATCCGTACTGTAATTGCGACGATAATGCTGGTCCCCAGACAAACTTACATGAGCCAACTGGTACAGTTAAAGCGTCTTCCGGGTATACCGACGGTCTCTTGAGCGTCGTTATAGCCAGATTCTACTTTAAATATATTATTAAAAACTTTATAGCATTCAATTGTACAAAACTATATCCGAACTCTTAGTTTACAAAACAATGTGAGAAGTTCCTGTGGAATGCCTAATTCGCGGGCTGGCTGTAACTCATTCGGAGCTCTGGAATTAATGTAAGCCATTAGCTGAATGGAATGGAATGCGCGCCGTTTGAATGATGAATGATGTGAATGCAGTTTGCCAACATTTCGCGTCATTCAAATTACTTCGGCGCGAGTAATTGATGTGTTTGGGACATTGACTTTGGCTTGAAGGCCTGCCTGGCTGGCTGGCTGGCTGGCAGACTGCCTGCCTGCCACACCCACACCCACGCCCACCCACGCCTTTTTGTCATCGCATTCCCAGAGATTCCCACCAATGGGCACACACTTGAAGCTCGTCAGGATGTCAGCGCAGCGTCTGATAAGCGCTGATAACAAAGGTAAACAAAACTCGCCCCCGCCCTGATCGCCCGCTGGCCGCTCAGCGGGCCTTTGGCGGGAAACGCTGCAATTCGTCGGTTGACGAAAGCCGCCCAGCGCATGCGCCAGCCGAACATCCGACTCGTACGCACCGGCCGAGCTCTGCGGTCCAGCTCAACTGGCACTCAGTCGTATAAGAGCTGAGGCAGACAAAAAACTGGGAAATTTGCACGAATATGAATAAACTGAACTGAACTCTGTCTGCTGAGGGATCGTAATGCATGCGTGATAAGATCTTCAAATGCTGGGGGACTCATTAAAGCCATGAAGCAGCCGAAATCTTTCATAATTACAGTAAGAGCTTGACTTGCATATACCCTGTAAGTAGAAGCAGAGTCCAATGCATTTATTATTATATGAAGCCATATAGCTAATATTTCAGAAGAGTTGCATGACTGATCACATACCCTGCAAATACATAGCTATATAGAAAATAGATAACAAAATATAAGAAAATAAAAAAATAAAATACCAAAGGTAGAGTATAGACCATGCACACATTATAATATAACATTATTATAGGGTATCATTACAGTGCGCGAGAATCTTAATGTATTCAACCTTAACAATTATTATTATTAGCTTGAAGCAGGGCAACAAGATCGCATTTTAGAATGCTCGACTTGCAGATACTCTATCTAATCGATATTTATCGATATTGAATAAAATATGAATACAATCAAAAATAATATTAATCTTAGCATGTGTTTAAAATGTTAATATATATTTGAGTTAGTCTGTAGTTACTAGAGAGAAATACGCTGTAGGAATTGCAGCTGAAGAAAGCGATATTTATCGATTTTAGCTAGTTAAAGTAGTCTATATTTGTAGAAATTCAGACTCAAAGAACTGAACTCGCATTTCAATATAGCTGAAATATTTCTCTAGGCCAATAGGAGATTAGAGAGAGTAGCAGTATATCAATAGATATACATCGACTGCTTCTTAACCATATGAGGCAGTCGATAGTGGGCGTGAGTGCGATGATCGTGAATAGCTTAAGCAGAAGAAGAACTTTTAAAGGAGCTGCTGAAAAAATATAATTAAATTACCAGATAAAACCTCTTACATGTCATACCCTACACAGTTTATGTACAGGGTACCTGGCTGCATTTTGCGTGGAGCTTCATTTGCAATTTCAATTAGTCGATCTTTTGATTTCTAACCTTGGCTTCGTTGGCTCTGCTAGTGGTATAAAAGGAGCTGCCTGAGCGGAACCAGTGAACAGTTCACAAGTGAATCTGGGTTCGGCTCAAGATGTTGCTGCTGCCGCTGCTGCTATTGTTGTTTATCTGCGGGCTCTTTGACAGCGCCGCCTGGGCAGCTCTGCTGCCACCCGGCAATGCTTACTTGCCACCAGCTGTGCCGCAGCTTGTGGCTGCAGCAGCTCCAGCTGCGGTCGTGCCCCACGTGGAGCAACAGCAGGAATACGCGCTGGACTTGCCACTGGAGTTCTACTGAGACGTCAGCTGCAAAGGGAATTGAGTAAGTTGGTCGACTTGGACATATCCTGTAAAGTGTTTCTTATTCTCTATTTTCTATTTCTTTTTAGTTCTTGATGACATTGAAATTTGTGAATGAATTTTGTATGCATAAATAAAAAATGTTTAGTATAAAGAGATATGTATATGTATTTTTTATTGAAGAACAGTTAGTTATATGTAGGGTATGCATGTGTGCGTATAAAAAAGCTGCCAAATGGGGCTCAAACAGCTGCCGACTGTAGCTTAGCCTTGCCATCGACTCGACTTTTCCTGCTTTCATATCGGGTCTCCAGCTAATATACCTCTTTATGCGAGTAGCACTACTTACAGCGTATTTTCCTTTTATAATATATTGTAGCTGCAACTGTGGCTATTGTGCATCGCATAAAAACGTTGATAGAAGTCAACTCTTTGTCGTTGGCTGCACAACCGCAAGTAAATCCCTGTACGCAGTCCTTGGACTTCCGGCCCCAGTCTCTCGCTCTTCCCCTCGCTCGCTCTCTCTCTGTGTCACACTCGATGCAAGTCGAAAGTTTTTGTGTGTGTGTGTGTGTGTGTGTGTGTCTGTGTGGGTGTAGTTTAATCAAGTTTCGCCACTTAAGTTTGAGCTCAGGTGGAAAACACTCAAAAGCCGCCTGACCGAACCGTTCACAGAGCTGAAACCGAACCCAGCCCGAAAAAGCCAAAAACCAAAAGTCCTCCCGCACATCCTCTCAATGCTACGGCGGCCCTGAACCCATCTAGAGCCCAACTGCTGTACAAAAGTTTCGAGAGCTGACTTTTTGGGTTTCACTCTGCTGGGCTTCTAACCTGTTACGCATTCTTTCGACTGCGGCTGCATATGCCCCTCAATTGTTTTATGGACAAGACCTAGCCTACTCCACCTGGCCCCTCCCAGCCCACAAACCGCTCGCAGTCAATTTTTTTTTTCTTGTCTTTCTGGCTTTGGTCTGGTCTGGCAGCAGCTTTAAAATCAATTAAATTGAGTGCCAGCATGATTTCGCAAAACGATTGTGCAACCTGAATAAGTAGCTATGCGCAAATTCAAGCTCCATCGACACAGCTCGTCTGTCTTTCCTATGGTTATATATGTAGTTTATTTAGATTAGATTTATCAAGATTTTGCTTTTTTTTTTTTTCAATTCGGGTTAATTGATTTTATATTGTGAATTATTAGTTGATTTCTAGGCGGAACCAGAGGGAGTACAATGTGTCAAATATACTCTTATATATGTAAATCGATTATGATTTCATTTTTCGATACTATTAAATCGCCAATGGAATCAAAATAATCGATTTTTCGTATCATATGCTTAATCGTGCCATCACTAGTGCAAAGTACTCTGCATTTAATGTTGTAATGCTCATATTTTGGATTAAAGTAGGCGTAGCGAGCGCAGCATAACTCTGGATGTCTACCGAAAAAAAAAAATCAGTCCCAATCGTTTCTTACTGAAGAGCAGAGCTCAAATTTTTTCCAAAAAAATTAAAAAAACCAAAGTAAAACAGAAAATAAAAGTAAATATAATTATTCATATATTATTCCATATTCGGCAATTGAATTTCGGCAAATATGTTGCGCAACGTGAATGAATTTGTGAGGCGAAATACGTTTGTTCGCTTTCGTCACGAGCCGTTGAACGACTTCCAGGAGGAGTCGCCCATCCAGCGTGTGCTGAGCAGAGTCACGGAGTTCTATAAGTGCTTCATCGCAAACTGCCAGAGGCTGAAGTTGAAATATCTTCGGCTGCGCGACCGTATGAGCAGCTGGAGCCATCATCGCTACGACACTGGGCTGGCGAGCCTCGATGATTTGGCAGCCAACTCGGAGACGCTCGACTTTAAGACGACCAAAATACGCTATGTCGTCTGCCATCCGACGGACAATCAGCGCTGTTTGCTGACCTGCAACGATGTGGCCCTGGTCTATCAGGATATGTGCTTGAAGCCCCATTACCTGATATCGCCGAAGCAGCGCAATATCAGCTGCGCCGCCTTTCGACCCTGGGATGGCACTCACTTGGCGGTCGGCGGGGAGGGCGGGATTTGCGTGTGGTCGATCTCGAGGGCGGGCGTCAAGTCGATGGTCTGGTACGACTACCGCGAGGAGGAGTTCATCTACGATCTGCAGTGGCTCCAGGGGGGCAGCCTCCTGGGCAGCGCCTCGCTGGGCAATCAACGCATACAGATCTGGCATCCGGCACTGAGGCTGGTGCTGCAGGAGCTATATATGCCCGTCTCGGGCACCAACTACTGGGCGCTGCGCCATCCCCTGGACTTGATGTATCTCATCTACTACATTAGGGAGCGCTCCTCTCTGTACGGCTATCGCAACAACATGGACGTCATGAGCAACAATCTGGTCAAGCGCATGCCCCTGCAGACGGCCGCATGGACCGCCAAGGGCAACCACTTGCTCTATGTGCTCAAGGACTCCAGCAAGGTGATGGGCGCTAGCTCGACCAAGGACGTCGGCCTCTTCAAGCAGGAGAATAAGGTGTGGAGCAGCCGGGAGGTCATCGATCTGGACCGCTTCTTTTGCAACTGGCACCAGTGCGTGGGTGGCCCCATCCAGTCCATGGCCATGGATCCCGTTCATGTTTACGTCACATTCACGTTCACCAACCAGTCGTTCATTCTGCTCTGCGTCCTGCACATTCCCTTCAACTGCTGCATCAAGCTGCATCCACTGCAGATCATTAACAGCCCCGTTCCGGGCCTGTGTGGCCGGCCCAGCTGCCACACCTTTGGCAATGCGCGTCTCTCGGGCGAGAATATAGAGCGTAGCCTGGTCATCTGCTGGTCCTCCAGCCATTTGCAGATTGAGGAGCTCACTGCCCAGACTAGGGAGGACGCTCTGCTGTTTGAAGAGCACGAAATACCATTTAAACACGACATTTACCAGATTGGGAAGAATTAACTTTGTTTAAAATTTGTTTCTTTTTTTTTGTTCTTTGTTCTCATTGTTTGTGTTCAATAAATTTTCATTTATTTGGGTTCGCATTTAACTGGAGGATAAACTAGTGCCTAAATGAAAGTAGCTTTGGCAACTCCATCGAATTGAGTTGCTCCAATCAATTTCTTAATGCAAACGTCGAGTGAGTGCTCGTGCTGCTGATTGATGGACTTGGTGCTACCCTTTATTATTCGCTAATGAGTGTGTGTGGCTTATGGTTATCTATATGTCTATACATCTATTCGTAACTCTATGTGAGTGTCTGTCCATTCGTCCGTACGTTCATCTGTGTTTCTGTCTGTCCGCCTGTCGGAATCTCTCTCTGTCTATTCATTCGACACTCTTCTGTCCGTCCATCCCACCTCTCTCTATCTGTCCGTATATCTCTCTGCCGTCCCTTCGTCCGACAGTCCGCTCCTCTCTCTGTTCGTCCGTCTATATATCTGGTTATCCATCCGATCGTCCATTCGACCGTCTGTACGAGTCTCTCTCTGTCCGTCCGTATATCTCTCTGTTTATCCTTCCGTCCGTTCGTTCATCCGTTCGCCCGTCCATCTACGTGTCTGTTTTCATGACTGTTCCTTCTTTTTTTCCTCCGTTCATTTACTGTTTGTTCATCCTTTTGCCATATTTACAGGGTATACAACTAGCTCAGCTAACTTGCTTATAAGAATAGTGAAACAATTATATACCTGACTGTGTGCGTGCGTGTGTGTGTGTTGATGTGCCTGTGTGTGCTGTTGTTGTTGCATGGCTAAAGTCAATTGACAATTGTATGGCTATTGCTGTTGTTGCTGTTGTTGTTTCGTTAGCTTTATTATTTGCCAAGTAAAAGTAATGAGACTTTTGTTGCCTTGTTGCGTTGCACATGAGTGCGCCTGTTAAGCTTTATATTTGTACACACACACACGCACACTCAATACATTTGTAGGAAATAAGCTAAACCCCAGCTCATATGTGTGTGAGTGTGTTTGTTTGCTTGCGTGTGCGTGTGTGTGTGTGTGGGTGTGGGTGTGCTGCTGGCCTTTTGTTGTGTTGGGCAAACAAAAGCGCAAAGCGTTGACATCCAGTGGGCGCGCCAACAACAACAACAACAACAAAGAGAGGATTGGGTATGCTAAGCTAGAAGATGCCCTGTATAAAAAAAAGTAAAGCTCTGCCTCTAAAAACCTTTACATAAGCGGAGTGGTAATATTTATATCCGTAGATCTTAAAAGCTTTGATTTAAGCCAATATCGATTTTTACCGATAGTTTTTAAGATATCGAACTGCCTTTGAAGGCACAAAATATATCTATGTATATATATCAACTTTCAAGTCTAAGGTGGACTATGAGCCAATATCGATTTTTATCGATAATCTTTATGATATCGAACTGCCTTTGAAGGAACAAAATATATTTATATACATATATCATCTTTCAAGTCTAATATGGACTATGAGTCAATATCGATTTTTATCGATAATCTATATGATATCGAACTGCCTTTGAAGGAACAGAATACATATCTATGTACATATATATGAACTTTTTAGTCTAAGGTGAACTTTTGCCCGTTACAAAAACTGGCACAGCATTGGCATACCCTTTAGCACATATTCTGGATATAACAACAGTTTGGGCTCCAAACAAAGTAAAAGCATTTCGAAATGCACGCCAAAGTCTGAATGCAGGCAGACAGCGGGGGTTAGAGAGCGATGGCTAGTTACATAGAGAAAGAGAGGGAGAGAAGAGAGTGAGGCAGAGTGAGAGAGTAGAGAGTGAGTGGGAGAGAGAGAGAGAGAGAGGGAGAGAGGTAGCTGCGTTAGCTGGGCAGCTGTTGATAAGGACTTGCAGTCGTGCGAGTTTCGCCTTTTTGGCGCCTGCATTATCGATAGAAAATAAATTAATTTTCATAATAATAATTGGCCCAGCCAGCAAGGCTCGGCAACCCTTTGCCGCATGGCCTGCAGCTATGGCTCCCCATGGCTGGGATGGTTGGGTGAGGCGGGAGCGGTGCGGTTGGGGGCGCAGGGGTTTTCTATACAGTTTTGCGGAACAGAGCGCCAATAATAATAACATTGTTAACACAACGTGCGCATGTAATAAAATCGTTTATTGAATTGGCCATAAATTTCCTCGTAGCTAGCAACAGCCGCAAAGCGAAACAGCAAACCTCTGCCCCCCTCCCCGCCACCCAC